GTAGTAGTAGTAGTAGCAGTAGTAGTAGTAGTGGTAGTGGTAGTGGCAATCGCACTAGCACTAGCACTAGCACTAGCACTAGTACTAGTAGTGGTGGTAGCAGTAGTTGTAGTTGTAGTAGTAGTCGTCGTCGTCGTAGCAGCGAAAAGCAGTGTTGTTTGTTTGTTTGGTTTGGTTGTGGTTTGTTTCGATTTTTTTTGTTTTTTGTTTTGCTTTGTTTCTTGCTTTTCGCTGCTCGCTTGCTTTGTTTTGTATTTGCCTGTTCCACAGTTCCACAGCAATAAGCTGGAGGGGGTTGGGGGAGGGCACAGCGCCTCTCCCATAAGCATCTTAATAGAGGTAGTTTGCATGTAGGTCTTGTCGTACTTTGGGCTAGCTAATCTGGTGGCCCTTGATCTGGAAAGTGTGCTCTCACCTGTGGTTGCACTTGTATAAACGATCTTTGTGTGGTTATGTCTGTTTGGTTGCAAACAAACACAAGCAACAATGAGCAACAGCAACAGCAAAACACACAAGCAAACAACACGCAACCAGGAAAGAAGAGGCCAGGGGACCGGGGGGGGCAGGAGTAGGATGTCGGATCATAAACACAAACTATGATAAGTAATAAAACGCCCGAGGAGCCATAATTACAGCAAACATTTAATAGTTGTTGATGCGGCCATTTTTGTGATGCGTTAACCAATTGGTTTTGATGCATGTGATATCAATTTGTTTTTGAACGTATTTTGATGCCCATTGCTAAGGGTCTTGAATAAATTGAAGAACCCGAAGAAAGCTCCTTGTAACGATGTGTCTTCGTTCCAACAAAGATTATCAGATCAACTCCTAGACATAGCCACCCTCAATGCCAGAGATTATATTCAGATTCTAAAGTTAAGATCCCAAAAGCTTGTCTGTGACCTACAAACCTGCACGTCTTGAGTGGTGCTCTTCGAGATGGGAAATCTCCAAGCCATCCCCGAAAAGAGCACGCCTCTCCACTGTGCTCATAGGTCACTGCCAACCTCATGGAACTCTGGAAGTTATTATACTGTGCATTGGATACGCACTTCCAAAATCAATTGATTCATGCGTCAAATTCATCCAACAATCCATCTCTGTGAGTGCCGAACGGCTCTGCTTGCAGCATTTGCAGATGAAGTGGTGGAATGGTGCATGGCAAACCTGGCGCAGCACAGCTCGACCAGAGCAGCCCAGCTCGTCGATCTTGTAAAGCAAGAGTTAGCGCCCCGATCGCTCCGTTCGTAGTAAGGCCAGGAGCCCAGTTCGTCGCGTCCGATCGCTCCACGTCTCGGTCAGTTTGAGTTCCCGTGGTCCGCTCCACGTGGTTTGGGAGACCTCAACAGGGAATAGACGAGTCTACCCAGCCAGGCGTCTCTGGTCTCCTCGTTTTTTCAGCTCGGCAGCTTCCTTCCACCAAACAACCATCATGCTGCTCATACATCCAAATTGTCTGTGGGACAAAATTGGGGTACCTTGGTTGACCACCGAAAATGAACAGAATGGAATGGACTACTAAAGAGGTCAACTGACCCTGGTTTGGGGCTTCCAGGGCTCTGGGTTTTGACCCACATCCAAATACTTTAACTTCCCTTTGTGAGACCCCAACCGCATCCCCCAAACCTTCCCATTCCCTGGTCGCATTCACACAATTTCAGCCAACAAGTTTCCATCACACGCGCCTCGCCTAACTTGCTCCCAAGGGGTTGGATGGGGGCCAAAGGTACTTCCTGCGACGGAGAGGCCCAACAAAGGTCTGTATTCACCCATGAATTTTAGGGGAGAACCTATCCCGTGCCCCAAAAAGGTAAAATGATCGGATGATCCAATGGCACGTGGGTGGCTGGCTGGTTGGGACTGTTGCCAAGTGTGCCTCACCCCAGTACCGTGAGGTCCAAACGTGACGTGAGGTCCAGAGGAGATCAGGCAACTCTCTACCTAGGTCATCGTAGGTCCTTTCCCCCAAATACTCCAAATCAAGTGACTGCTTACAAATCTTACAAATTGATCATCCCGCTCTTCAAAAGGGAAGTCACATGAAGTCACTCGGTGCGAGACCCGTTCCAAGCTTGGAGAAGTCCTCGAGCGCCAATGCCGGTGTGCTCTGGTACTCTGTGGAGTGGTAGGCGAACTCTTCAGAGGCCTCATCAAACATGGCGGCACAATGCAAGAAGTGCCATCAAGTGGATTGGAGTTCGCTTTTTGTGCTCCAAAGACTGGAACGGCGGCTGTTTGTCCTTCACTTTTTGTTTGCATGTTGGCACAGCTCGGACGGTGCTTCTGGCACCTCCGAAAATATGGATTCTGAGATTCTGAAAATCCTTCTTCACTGCGTCGACTCTACGACTCCGGCCGTTGGTCGCCCTTCCCTTGGGTCCCTTCCATGAAGCGGCGCAAGGAAAAGGTCAAAGTGAGAGCAGGTACCGCAAACAGAGCACCGTAGATGATGTAGAGGTCCATGGTCCAACTTGGAGCTCCAGGCGCTGCTGGATCGAGCAATTGATACACCGTGGCAAAGGCCACAGGTCCTAGAGCCGCCGCCACCTGCGAAACCAATGCAACAGCTGATTGCAAGGTACCTTGTTCGCCTGGAGCCTGTGCACCAATGATCCCAGAAACCACAGCGGGGGCCATGAAGGAAGGTCCTGAAAATAACAGGTTATTCGCATAGATCTGCCAGGGCTTGTTTGAAAGCATTTGCAAGACGTTGGACGCTACACAAGCACAAGTGCTGACAGCGATAAGCCCAGACTGGCCAAAGGCTCGCACAAGAAGATTCACTCCAAATGAAAGCCAAAGAACCTGAGAGACTTGTTCTGCAAGTCCACTGTAATAGCTGTTTTGCCTCGCCCACGCCATATGGCTCTGCAAGAATCTTCCAAAGATGGTATAGTAGCCTGCCCAGTGAAATGAGTTGATGACAAGAATGGCCGTGAGCTTCTCCACCAAGGGGCTTTGCAGAAGAGCTTGCAAGGCAGCTGTCGGCATTAAAGACGACCATGAGAACACCATGCGTTTCTCCTCGGGCAACGATTCTGGTAGCACCCACAGTGCCAGGCAAAAGGTCACGGCTCGGCCGACGAAGAGCACAGAGATGGCCATGTTCAAGCTCAAGAAGCTTCCGAATGCTGTCCCTAGGGCTTCACTGATGATGCAAGACCCCTCAATCAGGCTCACCGCATAGACAATGGTGGGTGCATGATCAAATCGATCTATATACCATGCGAAGGGCACTGCACCCCAAGGAACTGTCGAGAAGACACCAAGGGCATAGTCAACCCAAATCGGTAAAGGAAACCAAGCGACAAGCATTGTTCCAGTGGCTGAAATCAAAAGGCATGTGCGAATCACCAGCACGGCAGGCCTTCGACCAAAAGCATCGCTCATCGCGCCTAATGCTGGGCCCAAGATAAACTGCACCACCGGAAGCACAAAGCCACGAATAATTTGAAGTTTCAAGACCTTCGTAACAGATTGTGTACATGGAGCTGCGGCCATCTGTACTGAGCAGTCGATCCCAGGCTGGGATTGCCGTGCAAAGTAGTTCAAGTACAAGTACTCAACGCTAGGAGCAGCTGCTGCAAAGGTGAAAATGGCCACCAAATGAATGATCCACATGGGTCCAGCCTGCTTAATGATGTACGACAGGCTCTTCGGCGCTTCCTTTTTTTCTTGCAAGACTTCTACGGCTGTACCACCGTGCCGCCGCATCAGGACTTGAGCCACCAGGAAGGCTACTGCATGTGGTAGCAACACAGCTGTTGCAAAGGGAAGAAGCTTCTCCTCAGCCGCCCCGGTGAGCCAATGAGCTAAGCTCAAACGTGGCCTCGAAGAGTGGTGGGGCACCACGTAGCCCCGACGTGGCACGGGGGCGTCAGATCTCTCGAGGTTCACATGGTCTTTGGGAAGCACTTCCGCACTGACTTGAAGCATTCTGAAGTGCAAGAGCTCCTCATCCAAATTGTCATTCGAGTCCAAACGATCAACGCAACCTTTGGCAGCCTCACGATCGTCTGCAGCACCAGAAAGGGTCTGCAGCACCACAATCGTCCAAAAGCGATGCCATCGCATTGGAAGGCCTGATTAGTTAATGGTCTCAGGGTATTCTCACTGGCGCAAAGATCGCACAGAATGAAAGTTCTCCAACAGAAAAAAGTCTCTATCAGAAATTACGGTCGGGTGAAACGGATACCGGCTTTGAGTAGGAAAAAGCCCTGAGCACATGCAACTCTTGCCAGCACACACACAAACGAAAAAGTAAAACAACAACTCATCTTCACATGAGTCGATCAATCTCCAATTCCACTTCTTCTCTGCAGTTCACATAGTCCAAAAACTCGTTTTACATATGGTTTGCTTAAAAAGAAAAGACCACAACACTTCGCCTGTTCGGCCCGGCACCCGCCCCTTCGGGTCCCGGACGCTCTGCACCTCGCCGCGCAGCCGCTGGAGCACCTCGTTGAGGGATCCCAACCTGCGGAACGCAGGGCGGCGAAGGTCGGTCTGATCCCAAATGGACGTGGCGAAACAGTGGAGTCAGGAGTGAAGAAACAAAGATGATGAAGATTCATTTGGAATCATGTGGGGTGTGGATTTGAACAATTGGTGAGGTTGCTGTCAAAGACCGGGATTGGGAACAAAGGAAAATAGAGTCAACCAGACACAAACGAACCCATTGGGCCATTGGGCGTCTCTCTATCTAAATACACACCCAGCTTGAAAAGGGTCCACGATATTTCAAAAAATCTTTTCTCCTCCACCAGCGAAAATGACCAGTCAGAGATCACCAAACGCATCGCAAACCCACTGGTTGAACAGGAAGAAACATATCTGTTTGAGGTCCATCTTGCCATCTTCATCCATCTTCCCAGTGGAACCACCAGCAATTGCTTTCCAGTCCAAAGCGAGGGTGTTCTTTTCCAGAAGAGATTAGTTGTCTTTCTGGCTCTATTCCACAAAAAAATAAGTAAGAAGTGAAACGAGGCTCCAGCTGCAGAATCCAACTGAGGTCCCAGGTCGGTTTGCATCACCGCCACATCACCCGAACGAAATACGCACCATCTGCAAAGCTCTGTACTTTCGGGACTTTGCTGAGCTCTCAGCGAGATCTGCGAAGCGCTGCGCCTTTTCTCACGGTAGCGCAACGCTCGGAGGAGAAAAGTCTCTGAAAAAGTGTCCACAGTGTTGGTCATTGAAAAGCCACATGGTTGGTGATGTGTCCAAAGCATTGTCAATCTATATACCTTCAAAAAATGAACGCTTTTTGCTGACCATCCCTCATAAATATTATATATATATATTATAATACATATATATGTATATACTGGATATTTACTAGATTATACATACGATGTGTAAAAATATATATATGTATTAGAACCACCTTTGATGACAGCACTTAGCTACTTCGCTCAAGGTGGCACTACTGTGTGTGACACGCCAGGCTCCAAGATGCACTTCTTAAGAAAGGCATTCCATCACTCTTCAAAACCAGGGTTCTGCTTGCACATGCCTCGTTTTGCTACGCTTCAATGACCGGGCCCATGGAGCAGGTGCTTTGCTTAGAGCCCCAATGGAGCCGGCCAAGCGGGCCAAACCGAGGCCCCCGGCAAAGTGCCCAGCTCCGTGACCAGCTTGGAACAGAAGTCGGGGTCGTCCTGGCGGGTGTTTTTGGACGCTAACAGCCGAAGTCCTCGAACCTCCCAACCTAATAGAGATGGCCATAGAGATCTGCGAAGGAATTCCGACCTTCTTTAAGATTGTTCAAAACTTTATTTGTTTGGTCTCGGATTGTGTATGTTGTGCACCTTCTGTTACTCCTAGACCAATAGGACCATCGAGACCATCTGGGACGCAATACCATGTCATGTGCATTAGGACCCCCTGTCTTTTAGAGGACAAAGACAAAAGCCCAAAGTTGTGAGTTGGCAGTACTGCCCAACTCTCAGACCTCCCTACCTGACGTGACGTGTCGTCCAACACGCAGCCCTTTTTCTTGCTGGTGGAATGCATATCTGTCCAAGGGCAACCCTGAAGATGGATGAGTCAATCCATAACAACCAACCAAAAACCAAGTGGTTTTGGTGTCCATGTTGGGCAACAACAATCCGACAGGTACATCGTTCGGGTCATCGTTGGGTACACCTTCTCGAACATGTTCCCCTTCATATCTGGCTGCCATCTGATGTACAGCAAACCTGATGTTCTGGGCCCGTTTTGAGAAAAATCGGAGCATCATCCATGCCACTCTCCGTGCACACCAACTCCCACACACAGATGCTCGGATGGAGACGCCTCTCCTGGGCACAGCTTGCACAAAGGCAATGCAAGGCTGTGGTGTTCGCTGCACCTTTCAAGCTCTTCAGCTGACTGAAAGCATCCAGCGAGAATCCGCAACCTGCCGGCTGGCCGTGCCGAGAATGGCACAGGGGAGGCTTAAGCAAAAAAATGCGTAAAACGTCCTAGGAGTTGCTGTTCGGGCTTCATGTGGGTTTCGGGAATTCAGTTGCAGCACATACTGCACATTATAAAAGTATGTCTTTAGCAACAAGCAGTCCAGGGTTTGACCCCGTCAATAGATGTCCCGATTCGTTGTTGAAATTAAGAGGCTCTTATGTTTCACCGTGTCACCTATTTAGCAGAACAAAAACTTTTAGCACGATAGTTTTTAGCCGGACAATTGTGTGATGATGTTTTTCTTTTGAGGGGGTAGGGAGGTTCCAAGGTCAAAATCCACGAGAACCACTATATTATTTCAAGCAGGTATACCCCAGGTGTGCCATCTGTTTGCTACTTCTGTATGCCACTCTTTTCCGGTTTGGCTGGCTTAGACGGTGTAAATGTTGTGTTTGTAATTTGCCATCTATTCGAAGGCCCCTATAACAGCCAATACTGGGCGGCTGTTAAAGTAGACCTGTGGTTGATCTTGACACAGCCCCCCCAGCTTCTCAATTCAACCTGAGCCTGGGCCCTCCAGCTTTTCAACTCAATCTGAGTTGAAAAAGAAAACCCGTTCTAAATCATTATCCTAGGTTGAAATCACAGCAATTCCAAGCGGTGGCCATCATGTACCCAACATGCGCTCATGTATATGGTTGTATGTTGTGTCTGCCCTTTTAACAGCTGCGCTCTTACTTACAGAGTCCAATGGTTCCAAATGTGAAGCTGAAAGTAGCCATCCTCTTGCACACAGAAACAAATTGCCAAGACTAAACACCCTGGAAAGCATTTGGACAAGTGGTCAAAGTTGCGAAGGGGTCTAGCGCGGATCTAGCGCGGGTCTAGCGCGGATCTAGCGCGCTTCCCTGCCAGTGCATGAGGCCACCAAACGTCTGTGATCAAGAACTCGCTTTCTCGTCTCTCAAACAGTTACTCCCTTTCAAACAGTTGCTGCCTTTTTCAGCGCGCGCTGCCTTTCAAACAGTTGCTGCTCTTGTGCCTGTGCGGGTGTGTGTGTGTATGTGCACCAATGAGTGACCGTTACAATCAGCTCTTGTTTGTTAATCTTTTCTAAGTTACCTAAGTACTTGGTCCTAGCGCCAAACCTAGCGCGAACCTAGCGCAACCCTGCGTTTTGCTAGCGCGACGAGGTAACATACCCACTTTAAACACCAGAATACCAAGCGGTGGCCAAGCGATTTCTGAACCTCTGGGAACATTCCTTGCTTAATACATATTCCCGGGTTTTTTTCGACTCATCTGTGGTTGATCTTGGGTAAACCCTCCAAGCTTTTCAATGAGCCTGCGCTTGATCTTAACTTAGCAACCCTCCCGGCTTTCCAATTCCACTTGGAGTTGATCTTGGGAAGCCCCCCAGCTTCTCAACTCAGTCCGGAAAAGTCCAGAAATGAATTGCTGGCGTGATTGCACAGGAAGCTTTAAACAAATTTAGCTTAAAGGCATGAATAATATATCAGAAGTAATTCGGAAACTTCACTGAAACTGAAGAAAACAAACATATATATACTGTATATATAATATAAAAGGTCGGTGCTTTGGAAAACCAGTGGGGTCCCAATTCCCAGTGGTCTTGGAATAAAACCCAAATTGCTGGAAATATTTGCTGGAACTGGGAAGGGGGTTCACAGGAAGCTTCAACCCAACTCCGAAAAAATCTGGAAATAAGAACTGCTGAAACTGGGAAGTAGGGACTTCACTGGAAACTTAGTCTATTTAACCTAAGTCCGGAAGGTATAATGTGGGTAAACGCGTGGTTGATCTTTAATGTCAATCAATGTGACTGTCTCATTGTCATTGTCAATCCATGTCATTAATTGTCTGCTGCCATCGCCTCAACATGAATGGGTCAGTGTCAGGAAAAGAGTTCGTTGTCTGCTATGTCAAATCATTGCGCAGCCCTTTTTTTTGAGATCTGTGGGCCCAGGTAGACGGTCCAGGTAGAGCCTCCAGTGAAAAGAACAGGAAATGCCCCCTCCCACAGCGCATGAGCTCCAGTCTCTCACGCCGTGATCGAAACAGGAACCCTGGCGCCGATCGCAACACGACCGCGTGTGTGTCTACGTGCGTGTGCGAACACTCGAACCTGCATCACCATTGATGTAGTTGCCCATGATGAGTGCCTCATCCAAAAGCCGCTTCAAGGTCTCAGAGTTCAGGAGTTCCTGGCACGCAGCGTCAAGGCTCGCGAAGGAGGGGTGGAACATTTTCAGGGAAACAGCTGGGCAACATGATGATTCCGTTCTTCCTTTGGTGTTTCAAGGGAATTGTGAATTTTGATGTATTCTTGGGGTTTTGTCAAGAGTGGTGCAAGATGTTTGATCACCTGCCAAATGCGTGGGGTTGTTCTCTCACACAGGATCTCCCCCTAAAACGATTTTCCACTTTGGAATGCCTGTAGCCAGGGGGCTGGACAAGAGAACACCGTCAAAGTTGTTTTCTTGGACGGATACTGGGCCAGTGGGTAGGTAGCAAACTACCTGCAACCAGACGAAAACACTGATGGGTTTCGGGGGCTCTGCGTGCTGCACTGCTCGTGCCAAGTAAGTCCAGCCAATGGGCCCAAACTCAGGTAATTCATAGTTCACAATCAGTGATGTGCGCTGGAAAAATGTGAACTCAGTCTACAGTTCAGGAACATCTATTCACAGTTCACAACCTTCCTTATCTTCAGTCCAGGACCGGAGTCCTCGGAGTCCACATGTTGCCCGAGTCGACGCCTCTTCCCTCTCCCGACCCGGCGCCCGGTTCAGCTCGTTGCGACCGAGTGCCCCGCAGAGCGAGTCGCGCCTCACAGGCAGAGCGCAAAAGCACGAACTGCTCAAGTAGGCGGTCCAGGCCATCTAAGGAGCCTAGGAACGGCTCCGGAGCGGATTTGGACACGATGCCTGGCGACACGGATGGGAGAGGCCACGTGTGTGTATCCCTTGGAGTCACAGGGATTCCTTCGAATTTGTTTTTGCAATCTTTACTTCAACAGCGGGTCAAGGTGCGATATCACCAACCTTGACCAACGAAGCTGGGTGATATCGCGGGATGTGCGACTTGGCCAGTCCCATGTACCTGCAAGGGTTCGTCGGCAGACTCGTCTGTCGGTTCAGTTCCCTTCCTTTTTTTACCCTATTTCTACCTACTTGTAAACTGGCAACGCTGGCCTCCAACCTGGTGCCATGGCCTCTAACGTACTAATGATGGCCTCCAACCTTGTTGCTTGATGCGTTTTGAGTTTGTGTTTTGAGTTTGTGCATTGTAAACTAGCGCTGGCCTCCAACCTGGTGCGATGACCTCCAACGTACTAGGGATGACCTCCAACCTGGTTGTTTGATGCTGCTTTCAGTTCGTGTCTTGGAAACTAGTAGCGCTGGCCCCCCAACCTTGTGCTATGGCCTCCAACCCATTAGCGGTGACCTCCAACCTTGTTGCTTGGTGTAGCCTTGTGTTTGTGCGCGTAACCTACTAGCGATGGCCTCCAAACTTGGGCGATGGCCGCTGTGTGGTCCCAACTTTGGGCGCGTTTAGCACAGGCCCTCAAGGGTGGCACTTTACTGGTTTCCTCGTCTTGCATGATTGTTCGCTGATCAGCCGCTTGCTCGAGATTGCAGATCTTATGTGGGCCTCCTGCGTCCATTCTAGAATGTCATGACATGCTGCTAGCGTAGTCGCATGTGTTCCAATTTTGAGGCAAACTGGGTAATTCACGCACGGTCTTGCTTTCTCTCCCTCCTAGGTTTTCTGTTTCTAGGTCTTTTGTTCGTTGCTAGAGGTGTTAGGTTGCAGGTTAAGTTTTCAGTCAGGGTGCGCCGGATTCGGCTTTTCGGCTGCGTGCCTTTCACCCCAACCCAAACACGCACACACACACACACACACCCTTTCTCTCCTTGCTTACTTTCGTTTGTTAGGTCTTTTCTCAGGCTTGCAGGTTGCTTGCTTAGGCTCGTTTAATCGATCCACACCACCCGGCCACCCCTCCCCGCATTCGTCCTCTCCTGCTTTCGTTTCTCTTTCTAGGTTTCCCTCTTTTCAAAAGGCATTTTCGGCCAGCAATCGGGCTTTTTAATCAAGTGCCCGTTCCTGTTCCTAAGGACCTCTGACACCGCTAGACAATAACTAGATCTCTAGCTTCCGTACTTTAACGCTCATTGCACAGTTCGGCAGGGGATGGAGACACCTGTATTGCTTCTTCATCAACGAAGCTGGCAATACATGGTGAGGATATCAGATCCGGACGTGGAACTGACGTACCTGCTTTTTGTGGCGTTGACAAGCGCCCCTCTTCCTGTAAAGCGCTAGCGCACCTTTGTTCAATCATTTTGTTCGGCCGACGGATCGCCTTACTGTTCCTGAGAGTCAAGGTCTAACTTTCATTAACGTAAAGCGCTAGCCTCACGGAATGTCACAACTGATTTAGCTCTTGCGAGCATGGATCTAAGTGTCTGTGTGTGTGTCTCTTTATATACACTCCCAAAGAAAGCAACAAGCAACAAAGTCCCCGGGCCCCGGCCTCTATGAAAGTTAAACATGCAAGACCTGAACCAAATCCATGTCAGAAACTGGGACAAACAGGAAGTCTTTGGGCAGTTGATAAGCAACCTTTTGAAGTTCTGTTTTGGTGGATTCCATGATTGCGTCTTTCCTGGTACCAAAAATAACCAAAAACCACCTTTGGCTCCAGAAACCCACTTTTCAGGGGTGCCCACGGTACATCCAGTCTTGTCCACCTGTCGAAGATAGAAAATCTCACCAACTCCGGGAAAAGATCCTGGATTTTGTCTCAAGATCGGGAAGTTGGTAGGTTTGCCCCCAAGACGGCAGTGAAGCTCGGGTCCGATTCCTTGAGCCCAGCATGGTGAGGGCTTCGTCTGCAAATGTGTCTGTATCGGAATAAAGGACCCTTTTTGGTGGTCCGAAAAGGGGATCTCCCAATTGATGATTGATGTTTTTCCTGAGAAATGTCAAGTTTGACAGCCTCCTGGGTCTGTAGAGGGTGAACCTCTTCAGGCTCTTTACATACTTCAGGCCACCGGGCCCTCAGCCAGTCGTCCCACTCGTCCCACGCGGATCCCAGCGGCGGGAGAGCCGCAGCAAGCGCAAGCGCGCCTCACTGCGGGGCACCTGTGCCATCCTCGGGCGCCGATTCAAGGGACAGCAAACGACCGTCTCAGAAAGGAATGAGATCACGCATATATGCTGAAAGGGTCATTGACCGGCCGAGCCACCATTTTTCGGTTCCATGGGTCATGGAACACCCATGGACCATGGATGTTTCATGAAAAAAGGCTGACAAAACATCTTGGATGTTAGTAGGACACGACATGTGCATGAAGGGAGTCGAACTCTTCGGTGACGGGAAGAGACGTTCTCCACCGATGGCACGGGCGGTGGGAACGGAACGACGCGCCGTCCAAACCATGAAAAGCATGGAAAATGTCCAAAGGGTCCACAGAAAGGCATCCACTATCATCCATTATCTCGATGCCCATCCAGCCATTCATACTCGAGCACATCTACCCCGCATCTACGCGCTACATTGACCATCGCATTTACCACGTCGACCGAGGATCTGCTTAATGCACTGTTCCACATCCCGCAGATGCTCCGTGGGCCCGGTATACTTTGCCACCTCTTCGAAGTCTGCCTTTGTAGGCCAAGCCTGGTGTAAAACACGAGACGAGACTGGTCCGACGGTGTGACGATGTGACGGAAAGGCTTCAGCAAAACAGACCCTAGATGGCCCTGGGATTCCGGGGGATAACGAGTTTAAAATGGGCCCTGTTTCGTCACGCATTCTGATGTTCAGTTGTATGTGTCGGCTAGCTGAACTGTGCTTGGGGTAAACCTCCAACTGTTGCTTCTCAAAAATACTGGTGGCAGAGGACTGTGGCACTTTCCATGACCTCCCAACACGACACCACCATATATGGGATGAGGACAAGTTGCTAGGGAGGTCAACCTACCAGGGTTTAGGGCCTCAAGTTTTGACCCACAGCCATGCGCTATCAGCTCTTTCCCGGTCACCCCCAAAGAAACGGTCCGTGTGCCCCTCGCCCTCGCGCCGCGCCTGGATGAGTCCTTCCAACTCCTCGTCGCCCAGTGGCAGCGAGAAATCCAAGGTGAGCAGTGCGGAGCACAGCTTCTGCAAGGGCACCGGTGAGCGGCGGAAGACAATGGCCTGAGGGCATTGTTTTTGGCGCTGAAGGGCGGAACCGTTGTAGGGGAGAAAGATAATAATGGCCTGTGGACTGTGGACTGCAAGGGGGAGCCCTCACACTGGAAATAAATTTTTAATGTGAATGTTTATCCAATGTGGCTAACCCCTCAGCATCAGGAGAGAGTGCAATGACCTGTTAATTAGTAAATCCTAACACCCAACCTCGAGGAACATGGAGAAACAACTGCTTAACAGTGACATTTTTTCCTGTCCCCTAGCCCGCCCCACCTCAAAAACAAGTGACAAGAAGAGAGGGTGAACTGATGCGGAAAGCTGCGTGAAGCAACTGTGGCACGAAAACCTACTAAAAATTGGTCTCCTTATTTTAAACAAAAACAGTGACCCTTTTTGCGGGGGCACTGCAGGCATTCATCACAAGCCTACCTCTAGCGGTGTGGATTTTTGTCCATAGGTCATCTTTGTTGAGGGTTGACCATATTAAGTTGCATTACCATCATTACACATATTCAAAGCTGACAGCTGAGGACAAAAATGCCACACCATTCCAACCCACACCCAGACTCATCCCCAAAGACTGGACTCTCACACCACAAAATTTGAAAATCAATGACATTCACCATCTGCAAGGATGGTGCCTCTGGACCATCATCCACGCCATTCCACACGCAACCGCCCCACGCCCAGATATAGGCCCAAAGACCCAACTCACATCGCAATTGGTGAAAAGGTGATGTGACAGAAATTTTGTCCTTTGGGGTAGACCATTTTCATTGAAATATACTGAAATATGTTTGTTCCAGGGTGGCGGGCATAAATGCTGTGCATTTTGATGTGTTTGTTGTCATGTTGATATGTTTGCGAAAATCTTGGGAGGCAAACAACTGGTGAGAGCACATGGTCGTAGTGCGCTGATTCGTGTTTCCCTCGTCTTCTTTCCCTCTCTGCAATCTTCTCAAACATCTCCCACGTTAAACAAATATTAGAGGGAAGAAAAAAGGTGATGATGATCACTTCAAAAAAACAAATTGTTTTGGGTCATGTATTCACTCAGGATTTTTCCTGACCCCCTACCTCCAGGAAAATGGTTTCGACGTTTTAACAGTGACATTTTTTCCTGTCCCCTGACACCCCCCCAAGAAACAACTTTTATCCACCCAAGAAACAACTTTTATCCAATATAATCAAATCCTAGCCCCCAACCGTCCCTTTTCAACTTAGAGGCCAAATCCGGATTTATCTCCCGGGCGGCCTGTTCCTATATGCTCTGAAAACAACATTTTTTTCCATGTCGACATTTCAAAAAGCGTCATGCGCCCCCAGGATTTAATTTAGTCACCGGCCACCGCCACCGTTCACCGCCAGCCGCCGGTCACCGGCCATTGACCAAGAAAGTATATACTCCATAATAATCACGAGAGGGCGGGCGCTGAAGATCCATGCGGCGCTCTTTGGTCTGTCTGGCTGCTATGAGGCTGCTGTGCGTATGCTGTTTGTTGGTTACCAAGACTAGATCGGGTTTCCCCGTCAGATCTGACACCCCTACAAGAGTCCTCGAATCCCAAATGCCTGATTGAGTGATTCCTTGTCAGGCGACGAGTCAGGATCACGGGGGCCAGGCGCTGGTGTTCTACAAGGCACGGCATCTTTGTACAGGTCATCGGTCAAGCTGAGCCGCTTGTGATCTTCCCTAAGAGAATTGCGTTGCGTTCACAATGGCTTCTACAGCATGGACAGAGGCCAAGGTGCAACTCCCACAGCCTTGATTGCCTCACATTGGTGGTTGTGTTCATGTGTGCCTCCTCTGTGTATTAACCCTTTTCATATGCCTCTTCCCCTGCGTCGCAGGCCTGGCGCCCGTCATCGCCAGTCTCCGCAACCATTTGTAGGAAGCACACGACGAAGGGCGCTGCCTCCATCGTTGTGTGCGCTGTTTCTTTCTGGCCGGTGCGAGACGATCTGGACGCTGGGCGACTTTGCGGGGTCCGCCACAGCAAAAACACTTCACCCCAGCAAGGCTTCCGGCGCGGCCATTAGTATTCTTGTCAGTCACCTTGTAGCTATGTCTGCTGAGCTTTACTTGGCGCTGTTTGGTCCTCGCTTCTCTCAGGGTCCGATTGGCCTGATGGATTGCCGCCATGGCTTCATCTTCTTCTTCAGTGGCAGCGGCAATCAATGCGACACCCTCTTCTGTCACGCCCTCATCTTCTTCGTTGGTGTGGCTTTGCTGGTTGGAAGTTTGTGCCAGTCATAACATGGTTTGCCTTCTTGTTGTGCTGCACCCTCATCTAATGCCTGCTGGGCTCGGGCATACAAATCGGTCTTCCGAGTGATGTAGTCGCTCGTGGACTCGAACTTTTTCCGTCCGCTTACCCTGAAGTAACAGTTAGGGTGTTCGGTCAACTCTGGAATATGTGGTCTTCCAAGACTCTTCCTCAGGTGCTGCGTCAGTTGTGCCACTGCACCTGCATGGGATAGCCAGCCCGGTCGCTTCCCAACGATCAGTTTGCACGCAGTCCTTGACAGTTCACCTGTGACACATGATCTTGGGTCCACTGAGATAGCGCTTGTGATGGGGAATGGACTGGCTCCACAACAGCGCTGTCTCTTCATATTCCCGATAGCTTCAAGCGTCTCCACTCCACTGTGAGATGCCATCTTTGCTCTTGCTGATTGCTTCAGCTGCTCCTCCATGTCTTTCGACTAGCGGCATTGCGGCAGTCGACACCTGGATTCCGCTTTGTTTCTTGAACCGCAAACTCACCGTCACGCACTGTTTCACGTGACTGGCGGGCAATGTCAATTGCATCACATAATGTTACATATAATAGCATATATATAATATATATATTTATATATTTATATATGTAGTTCGTTATTGTTATTATTTCTTTATTTCGTTCTTTTTTCTTTCGTTATTTATTTGTTTCTTTCTGTCTTTCTTCCTTCCTTTCTTCCTTCCTTCCTTTCTTTCTTTCTTTCTTTCTCTCTCTCTCTCTCAGAAGAGGTGCTTTTGTGCAGCCAGCGGGTAAGCAAGGCTCGTTTGAGCTTGGTAGAAGCCACAACTCGCCTTCTGTCTTAAGATCTACTAGTACGCCAATCATGCCAATCTACGTGACAGCCCAACGATCCACCCCTTTCCCATCCGACCTCTTCGAACCCATCGACAGCATCGGGCCCCGATGCTTAAGCTCGCTCCGCGAACGTTTCGCTTGCTCCAAGTGGCCAATTGTTGCGCACGGTTCCGATCCAATAGGCAAACACCGGCACTCTTCGGCACGAAGGACGAGCGTCCGCTCGATCCATGCACCACGGTGAAGACCTCGTCGCGAACGCGAACGGACGGCCACGCCGACGGCGGCTTAAGGGACCGGAAGAGATGGGGTCGGCGAGCCATATGGCTATATAGGGTCTATATGGTCTAAGTAATTCATCTCTAACCCAAAAGGGTGCAATGAAAGGAACAGTTGCCATCTACGTCTTGTGGCTATGTATTTTGACGCATGGCCAAGTCCACCAAGCAGATTTGTTGTACTTGCTATGCTCATCAGAAGTCTAAGGCTCTAAGGGCTAATTTGTGAGGAGTTCGGAAACACGCACTGAGATTGAGGAGTTTCTCTCTTCTCGCAGACCTTACAACAAGTTCAACACCAGCTGACTTACTAACTGTCCAGTCCATCATTGCTCTCAGGTCAATGTTCCCCAAAATAAATCAAAATAATCACTTCTCACTATACTTTCACTTCTCCACAACTCTCTGTTGCCCATCTCCACTACTCTCACCTCGTTCAGCATCTTCGCGGTGTCGCTCCGGAGATGCCCTGCGCCCAGGCCGTGGAAGACGGTGCCCTCCGCCGAGTTCAAGGTGCGCCAGCGCACGCGGCGCGCGCCAAAGGGGTTCACCTCGGGCGGTGGGAACCGCGAACACCGACGCGGAGACAGGGTTTTGGGTGATTCATCCGGGGAGCTTCGGGAGTGACATGTCTTCAAGGGAAACAGGGTTGACTTTTTTCTGCGCCCCAGTGGACAAAGAGGGATTTGAAACATGAATGGTATTGAGACGTGTTCTGCAGTGTTGGTGACAGTTTCACCCAATTCAAGGCGATTCAGCCCGGATCGAAGAAATGCGTTCCAACGGTCAAAATGCTTTGACGTTGTAGTTCCAAAGTGTCGGGGACCTCACGCGCATGGTCCAAAGTGAGGCAACCCTTTTGGAAGAAGTGGCGCCCACATGCTGCGGCTGAACATGTAGCTCGGAGTCCCCAAACCAACTCGGAGTAACAGAATCAACCGATTCGTTGGGCCAGCTGACAAGGATTGAAACGGCCAAACTGGAGGCTTCCACAAAAAGTGTCGAAGAGTTGAATGCGGTGCGGCAATCTATGGTCCAAGACACTTCAAACAGTCCGTACACCCCAAACGGATCGGCATAAAATTGCATATGGAATCAAAGGGCAATAATAGACTCAGCATGACTCAGCCGATGCCTGCAGACTTTCCCGGACCTTTTTCTTTCGGATCGACAGAGAATGTCTTTCACTTCTGTGCCAAGTTGCTTTCGTCTGATCCCCCACTGGCGTACTCTCAGCCTTCGCAGCAGCCTTTGCAGGTGCGGCCTTTTTGGGCGGAGGACCAGGCCCCTTTGGCCCCTTGGCAAGCGCTTTCCCTTTGGCCTTCGCGCGTGGTGGGCACTTGGGCGCAGCTTTTGCCGGTGGGGAATGTGGTTGGGCGGCTTTCGGTGGCGCGGCCATGGTGCTGCTCTCCGCGTGGTGTGCCGCGTGATCCGTGCTTTCTGCGCCCGGGGCACTGGCGCTTTCGCTGGTGAGGGGGCTGGAGCTGCTGTGGCTGGCCGAGCTGGCTGGGCAAGTGATAAAACTACCAGTGTCTTTCTGCAGCTTCCTGTATGCCAACAGCCAGACACTCAACAGGAGGAAAAATGGGGCAGCTATGCCCACCTCTAAGGAAGTCTCGAAGGCATCCAGGTCCAGCTCGTGCTCCAGATCGAAGCCTGGATCTATCAAGGTGGGTGCTTCATTCACGGGTAGCTGGAATGCACTGTACAAAAGCAGAGCCGAGAACGAGAGGTGCAGCATGCAGTACCTGAACGAGGGCTTCACAAGTGCACCCCTTCCGGTGCACCACCATAGCACGAGTCTTCTCCGGCTGCCAAGTTCATGAAAATATTTCACCTGGCTGATCTTTCGGGTTCACAGTGGTTGAAGCAAACTGCAACAAGAGGACTGCTTCAATTGACTGAGTGAGATCGGATGTTCACTTTGTAATTTTTCTATTCTGTTGCTATCAGGAACATGCAGGTTGTTGGCTTTCGGAATGCTAGACATCTGCTCATCTCTGTCAAGAGCTAGAAGCCTCTGTATTTGCTTATTTCAGGGTTTACTGGAGTTTGGTGGGGCCGCAGGGCCTTGGTGAGGGGCCATCCATCATGGCCAGGACTAGGTGAACTCTGGGTAATTCAGTGTCCGTCGATTCTGCTCTACAAGCGGCGAACGAAGTTGGCGCGGCGAGCGCAGCTCTCGGTGGCGTGGCCAGTTCGTAGGAGCACTCGCCACTGGACTGCCCACGTTCGTAGGAAACTAGCTGAAAGCGTCCGTGTCAAGGCCCCTTCGAAGGTCACGCAGTTCACGGTTTTCTGTAATAAATATACCGTATATCTATAAAACCTGAATGGTTCCTGTTTTGGAGCCCAAACATGGAAGGTCAAATGGGCATCATACTCGATCCATCAAAACTGACAAAAACGGTGTTCTTCCAGTTTGGGGCTTTGAGCGCGGTTCGCTCTGCGGTTGATTATGGGACTCCAAAAAAAGAAAGTCCAAGGTGAAAGGCCATAAGAAGACATCCAAACGCCTCCAGCCCCTCGCGTGGATCGGTTTTCTTTGTGCAGCAGGCTGGATGGCCATCAAGCGCCGCAGTGCTGTGCCCCTGCTGTGAAACATCGCTGCTCTGATCCCTGATGATACCCTTACAACAAGAGTTCGTCGCCCCACTGCAAAGTTAGGGTCGGTTCATCCAAATAAATGCATGAATGATTACTAATGAATTGAAGGATGTCGGAATGTCGTGTCACACTCTGTTTGAACGGATCTTCCTCAGTTGTGGATGCCAACTTGTAGGTTTGCCAATATTTGTCTAATGTCTAAATCAAACCTAGTAGTGCCCTTTGCCATCTCCTGCTGTGGATCTAACTCATGGCGCCAAGCCAACCAAGGTGTAGTAGGGAACCCCAGAGGCCTTGGCTGCATCAGAACTGCCACGCAGAAGGAACATATATATATATGTATTATAATAATCCAAATATGAGGAATTCCCAGAAACGGACTTCTCCAGATCACTGAGGTTTAACTCCTTCAATGCTGTGCTTGTGTTTCATTTTGTGTGCGACAGAAGATTTCATCTCTCCTCCCGCATCATGCGTCCCGCATCCGTTCCCGAGCTGCCACGAGCCACGTCAGCCTCCGCCACCACGTCACCTGTGATCTGCTCTCTCTCCGTGACTGGGACTCCCAGCAGAGCTGGTTAGGAGAAACACTCGCTGGTCACTCAAGAGAGTGGCGGCCACCGCCAGCACCTGCCGCGGCTTCCCACGTGGGCCGCGCGTGGCGACCCGTAAGCCGCCTGGATTTCAACCGCGGTTGGAGGGCCAACGCCGAGGCCAGTGCTTCGGGTCCTTTAGGATCTTTAGGTTGCTGAGAGAGAGAGAGAGAGAAAGAGTTCGTTAAAGTTAAAAGGTATTGAAACCCATTGGGTACAGTAGTGGATCTTGAAAAACGAACCCTGTATCGGAAGCATCAGAAAATCAACAAAAAACCAAGAACACTGACACGTGTTCGCACCGTCCAAGGTCCGAATCCTCCGAATCGAGTGGATAGATGAGTCTTCGCCCCAATGTTCGGAGGATGAAACATGCTCTTCGCCCGTGAACTCACTCGTCAGATGACTCGGATCGAGTGGTTGGTTAGTTGATTTTCTGCATTCACGGGCGACCCCGGGCGACACCTCTTTCTCCGAACTTCCGACATCTTGGCAATGATCTGGCAGACCCTGTTCATTCACCTGAGCACATCAGAAGCGAAGTTACAACTCCATCCCGAGTGTCTTCGGATGGAAAACCAGGTCTTCGGATGTCTTCGGATTTGGTCTTTCCATGCCATCCACCTAACCGCTTCTTGCCACTAGTCGCGACTCCAACCTACTAGCTTCTTGCTACTATAGCGATGGCCTCCAACCTACTTGCGATGGCCTCCACCTAGTAGCTTCTTATCTCTCGCATGCGAAGGCCCAGAGTCCAGAGTATCGATACTGATTTCTCTCCTCCCCTGCTAGATGCACATCCAACAAGGATACTCGAAAAAGTGTTGCTGCTATGTTAGACTGTTCTTCTACTGTCCCTGCAGATCACTACTGTTTCTCGTGATCACACACCAAAAGTCCGATTTCTTCGGCTCACCACAGGCCCTTCGGCTCGGGCGCGCGCTCCGCACAGGCGCCCTCGGCCTTTGGCGCCTCGCCGGCGGGAAGCGACACCACGGCGAATCGGTCGAAAGCACCGAGCAGCTCGAAAGGGATGGTCATCTGTTTTCAGCATGGTCCCCTCTTGAGTTGACCACCCAGATCTTGGCTCCAGATTCAGGTTTAAGTTTCAAGGGAAAACCTGGAGGACACCGGGAAAGCATGGTTCTCACCACCAAAAACCAGTGCGTGTCCTTTTTTGTTCCTGTATATACATTTCCCTCAAACCAGTTCTGGTGTCATACTGCACATATCTTTTTGCACTAAGGCGACCAACTTGACACAAAGGCAGCCAACTCGCCACGGTCAGGTTCCGCAGAGAATTGGGAGTCCAACGGTCTGCTCAGCAACAACCGGGATGAGAAACATGGATGAAACCCAGGATGGGACACGTCCTCCCGGAAAGCGATCTACTTGAATCTACTTGTAGAGGCAAAAGGAACAGTCAGAACGGCCTGGGCCTGGTCGTTGTCTCACAAATCGAACATCTTGACTCTTGACAGTGAAAAATTGAAAACAACATAAATCCCCGGTCTATATATACACATAATATTCCCCTGCATTGAGGCGTATTTATAGTGTTCGGGATTGTTCATACACCTTGTTCATACACCCACTTGTCAAACACCCCTGATTCTAGTTCGGAGGAACGTAGCAGTTCTTCATTCCATTGATTAAAGGGGGGTCTGCATCTGCCGTAGCAAGGCGGCAGAACGCGGCCCACAGCAGCCTTGATCCCCACCAAGGAAGGTGAAGAGCCGATGTCCTCCCCGACAGCTTCAATGGCGAAGGCTTGACGCTTCTGGGAACCACTTGGCGGCTAGCTACACAGCCGGAGCCGATGTGCAAGTGTTGGAGGACAAGTTGTGTATATAACTTATATAACACCATAAGGGTTGACTCCTCAACAACCAAATTCATGTGGCACCTGTTTCAACGTCTTTCAGAAAGTGAGGGTCCACCTTTTAGAAGAACCACTGCATCAGAGCCGTCGCCGCGCAGACCTTGAGCTGGCTGCGCCTGCGGCTGCGACGGGACGAGACGCGGAGCCACTTCAGATGGGACGCGCTCGCGTAAAGAATCCAACACATCTTCTGTAACAAACAGACCCGGCCTTCCGAATCTTCAGATGGGGGAGTGAAGTGAAGTCTGATCAAGTGTACTACAAATTAGACATCCCAGCTCCACCTTGATTTGGGGCACCCTCTTTCACCCTCCAAAGGTGGGCTCCACGCCCCTCTGGCCTCATCCCGCTGCACCGTGCTCACGGTGCCTTCGACCAAAGCAGAATGGTCAAATGGAAGATCTAAGGTGTATATACATTATATTTATATTATATGTTATCATATGTGTACATAATTACGGTATATACTATAGTATCATTATTGTAATTCATTGCATGTCTTTAGCGTGATTCGAGCAAGTCATATTTATCCTGCAGTATCCCTGCCCAAGATTTGCCCTCCGTGCGGAGGCTCCTCCGTTGCTTGTGTGTGAAGGCATGCAAGAGTGCTTTTTGCTCAATGTATTTTTCTCACCAAGACCCTATCCAAGTCCTTGAAGAGAAAACGATGTTCCGTGCTTTCCCAATTTCCGGGACAATTGGAAAGAACTGAACTCCTCACAGGGGACTCACTCACTCAGTCCGCTTCGCTTTTTGCACTTCGAATGGCCGCTGGGAGCACGGCTGACAAATGGGCTGAAACCCGAGGCAATCACCCGCGGCTCTTGAAGCACTTCTAACCTCGGAGCACGAAGAGGCTGCCCGTAGAGGCCATGACACGGCGGCAAAAAGCGGCCATTCCAAGGAAGGAAGAGACACAATCGACACCACCGGTGAGCCTAGCGGGCCTAGCATACGGCAGCAAGAATACCTCTAAATGACTCCAACGAAACCTATCAGATCCGACCCAAGCAGCTGCTTCCCACACCCAAGTGTTCACCGTGTTACAACGTCACCGCCTCCCATCTCAGATCGGAGCCGGTGGGCCGCATTCAAGCGAAGCACCACCTGAAGCACCGTGGAACCGTGCAGCCGTAGGGGTTGAAACATTGTGCTTCGGACTGTAGGAAGTCATTTCTGCAAACACCTGGTCTCACCTGGTGACTTGATCTTGATATGGAGGAATCCAGCATCCAGGTCCTGCAGTTGGATGGGTCCCATGGTCCCTTTCTGTTTCATCTCCCTGTGACCGGGGTGGCTGTCTGCTAAGCTGCTGCTACGTATGCTTCGCACGGTGATGCGACTCTTTCTGGTCGGTGCTTCTTGCTGTGCTAGCCACTGCTAGCCGCTGCCAGGCCGCTAGTAAGGGTTGAAAGAAGTTTCAGCTTTGACACTTCAAAGTTCGCATGTCCACCACCTTGTCTTGGCTTCTACGCACGTCCCTCTCCGGATGATTTGATCGAACGACCAACGGTTCCGACAGCGTCCCACAGCGACCGCTCAGCGACCGCTGGAACTCGAAAGATCAAGTGTAGAAGAGAAACACCTCATGGCTCTAACACCACCTGCGGTGAAGTTCGTGTGGCTTCCCGAGGTCAAGTCATAAGCACCTGCTTAGTCACCTCTTCCTTTCCGCTGTGGTAGGTATAGGCAAAGGCCTGAACCAGGCTCGAGCAGCGAACATTGGACCGCGAGCGGGGCTTAAGGAACGAAAATTCAATAGCAACGCCTCACAATTCTTAAACTATCTTTAAATTGTATACAGTAGATGGTGGCCAACTCTTCATCAAACAGCAAAATACACTTTAAAACAAAAATAATAGTAAATACATAAACAATAATCAGAAAAATACAATTCCTTCCAGTTGAGGTTGGGTCCTCGAACTCTAGTGCGCATGATATCTTTGGGGAGACATGGCCACCTTTTCATAGCTAATTAACTTAATGCATTTAAATGTTAATGCTACTTATCTTGATGTGTAGGCGAAGGGCAGTTATAGAGTTACCCGGTTTTTCTGGGCTCCTGGGTGGGAGGGAGGTTCTGTGAAATGACTTCCCCGTACCCGCGATTCGCAGCCGGAAGTGGTGCATCGAAAAACTGTGAGGATCGGTCAGGCATCCGTCTGCTACAACGCCCAAAAAGGAACGATTTCAACAAAGTCATGTTCAAAGGGGGTCCACTTCTCTTAGCCCTTAAATCTTGCACAAACACGTCACTATATATAGTGATAATGCTAGAACCGTCGGATTGCCCATGGTTCCAAATGGTGGAGAAATGTTGTCGGTCAGGCTGCGACTTGTAGGAGCCCACATGTTCCGAGACGTGAAACCATCATCGCAAAGGACACGGTCGACTGAGCATTGGGTGACTGCTTCGGTTGCTTGCAGATTCTTCTACCAAGGGATTCCACAGATTTCTCGCATGGTCATGGTGCTCCATCCGGGACGAAAAACGTGGATCCATGTGAGATCACCAGGCGTCACTCGAACGGGAAGGGTTCAGTCTCGATGGCTCAGGTCCGGACGCCATCGCCAAGGCCAGCCACGGAACGTGCCCAGATCTGCTCTCGCGGCCTCGGGATCCGCAACGCCAATCAACCCCATCGTGTGCCTGGAATCGGTACCCTCTGCTCACCCCATTGTGCCACACCAACAGTGCAGGAAGCATGAGCAACCCTCACATGTGGGAGTGTGAAAAGTCAAAACTTCGGGGAAGAAGAACGTTGTGTCTGACTCGCTGTTCCAATCAGAGCTTCACATCCGAAGAATTCCCAATCTCCATCATGAAAAAAAGAAAAACACTCGGATCTCCGGTCTTGGTCCATCCCCACTGACCACCGCCTCGGTGGAGGACTCATCACAGCCTGACCAAGGTGCTCCAGGGACATGGGCTTCGTGGTGAAGACCAACTCCGATCCCCAAAGCTCCGCCTCGTTCCGAACCGTGAGGAATGTCATGACCGTGGTGGTGACAGCAGTTGAAAGCAACGGCGCATGGGTCAAAGAGGGAAGGGTCCCCCCCAAAAAGGGAGAGGGGTGGGCTTGAGAACTTGCGGCAGAGTTCCGTGAAGAATGTCCTTCCCTTCGAAACCGTTTTACAAGGTGCCTGGTGCCTGTGGTTTGAGAAAGGCCTTTCACAAATCTGTATGATCAGCGTGTCTCAAGCTGTCAGGGAAGCAAAAGTAGAAAAGTCTCCAAGCCGGCTAGCGCTGACCCACTTTTCACCAAAAGTTCCTTGGTATCAATGTTCTCGTATATGCTTGAAATGAAAAGAAGCAACCTCTGGGTAGTCTGCTGTAAGCACATCTCCGGTTCTTGCAGGGCAGAATCTCCAACAAAATGCAAGCAACTGCAACTTCCGCCCAGACCCCCCCCCACGTCTGCTGCGACATGCAGCGTTCTAATGGTTGTTTGTTTCTGCTATGGAAAACGGGCTCCATAAAGGGTTTGAAATTGTTTGAAAACAGGTTTGAAATAGAGATAAGACCCTTCATTCAGAGGATTGCCTTCTACTGAACAAACCCTAGATTAAGAAACCCAACGTTAGAGTCTACCTGCCCTCAGATTTCTTATTCAAACACTTGGGATCAAGAACTGTTCTAGACTCTATCGACCACATGGGGATTTCTTGTCACAAGCCTCAGCTGTATCAATAACCAATGGCCAATGGGTTCGCTGACGTGCTCCCAGCATCTATCCAAATCTCAAACGAATCGCACACGAATCACCATGGAGTGGATGGGAGATGATGGAAGTGTTGTGAAGCAGCTGAGAGTCATGTTGGAGGCTCCAGTCTTGGAGTGACACCTGATGAAAAACTCACTGTCCTGTCAAAAAGGATCCCCAACCATCATCCTGTTTTACCTGCCAGCTTACTGTCATCCAGGCCAAGCAGCTAGGGCAACACTGGCTTCTCTGGACCTCAGTGACACCACAACAGGGATCCTCCTTTCCCCGACCTTCCGTGAATAAACCAAAGGAAACATCGGAAACAGATTGGAGGTGTAGTTCAATGTGTTCAATTTGAAGGTACAAAGGTGCCTGTCCAACAAGACTCAAAAAAAGAACTGGTGCCAAGCTTGTGTCCTTGCTCCGGACTTCGGACCACCATGCGTGTGAGATGCCCGTCAATGTGTCGACCACTCCGTGATACTCCCACTAAGCCCTCCACGGGCTGTCCGCCTTGTCAGGGAGTTCTCGGTAGGCAATGGCAAAGGTCTTCGACCTCAAACGATGCAAGCGGAAAACGAGGGCTGCGAATTGGACATCTGCATGACGTGATTTCATGGCAGCTTCTTGCTATGGCATGAGTAAAGTAGAAACATGCAGTAGACTCAAAAATAAATACTTGATAATGTTTGATCCTATTTGGCTGGTTGTAAAATGTGACCTGCTCCACCCTTCGCTCCGTTCAGGAAGGGTTGGGTGACCTTGAAAAGGTTACAAGAATCTGATATATGTTCACCTTGTTTCTCTTTGCACTACAGCCAATGTCCAGAAACAGTTCATTGACTGCAGTTTCTTTCTCTCCACACACTATGACCTAGAATAACTTCCCAGTAGCACCTTCCGTCGAGTCAAGTTAGGGGATTCCTATGGATTCCTCTGTGTTTTTGAGAAACTCTTCCAAGGTTTGGACACCGCAAAATCTGCGCAGCATGTGTTCTTTCAAGCTGTGGTCCCATCTCTTCCAAAACTGCTCACCTCATCTCACCTCTTCGCTTGGCCCCTCGCGCAGCCGCACGCTCCTCGTCAGCACCCGAGACTCCCCGACGAGAGTGGGGCGGCGCTAAGCCGCGAGACCCGAGTCTGGGCGAAGTGATACTTCCCCAAGACGCGCGGCGCCTGGGCGCAGCTTGGAGGCCATCGCGGTTCGTAGGTTGGAGCGACTGGAACCGCGTGGGCGACGTTCTCAGCGGAACATTCTTTCGGACGCCTGCTGTGGGGATGGAGGAGTGCACTCCGAAGAAGCTGCACCACAGGCTCACCACAGGTGTTGTTCGTCGCTTGTGGGGGGTGCTTGTCGACAGGATATGATAGGTCATAGTTTTGGGCCATTGATGGCCATGATTGCATAGTGGGATGTCCCTTGCGTCTTCTTATGTCCAACTAGCAAAAAAACCCGCCCACACTTGGTTTGTAGAAGAAGAAAGCCTATATAATACACACAGGAGTGCTGTATGCCAACCATCCCCAACCTCTGCGAAAACCATCCAAAACCTGGCGATTCGCAATCTGAAAACCCTCGCCGTAACGCGAGGTCCTGGTTGGTGTTTCACGGTACGGCGTACGGCAGATCGGATGCCCTGTGAGAAACCGGCGAACAGCCACATCCTCCTGTCGCTCCAAGCGACCATCTGCCCTGATCTCCTTGGACCGCCGGACCGAAGCGATTAGTAACATGTGACCGTGGCCTTCGAACCGTTGAAAAGAAGGGTGAGTAACTTCCAAGTAACTTTCCCCAGAAGGGATTGACCCACAGGGAAAATAGAAATCACCCAAAGCAAAACTGGGTGAAACATCCCTGCAAAAAAGAGAGAGAGAGAAAAAAAAAAAACAACCTTGCTCACCTAGCTTAGCCGCTAAGCCCCTCGCTCGTCTTTTCCGCACTATGCAGAACCGAAACATGGGAGTTTATCGTGCCGGAAACATTCAAAAAAACGTTAGCTAGCTTTCAGAGGATTATATGATAATGTTGGATGCTGATTAGTAAATGGTTCCGCAATAATGCTAAATTTTCCAAAATTATTCATGACCCCATGTTTGAAAAATGGTTCCTGAATAATGCTAACTTTTTTGGTGGCCCTAATTTTTTTTTATATTGAAACCTTTTATATTGAGGCCAATGATTATGATTCATTAGCTGATATAGCTTTCTCTAGGCTTCTTCAAAACTGACAGCTGACCAAAACCACCAATTCCCCAATTAAACCCTTTATAAAACATTGCTCCTAAACAAATTTTCAAGGTAGTAGACCAGGAAGGCACCTGATCCTCAATAATAAGGTTTGTTTTTTGGTCCTCAATTGTGAAAAGTTTTTTCCACTGGAATAAATGCGCATGCAATCTCCCTTTACTTAGCTCCTGAGGCCAATGATTATGATTCATTAGCTGATATAGCTTTCTCTAGGCTTCTTCAAAACTGACAGCTGACCAAAACCACCAATTCCCCAATTAAACCCTTTATAAAACATTGCTCCTAAACAATTTTTCAAGGTAGTAGACCAGGAAGGCACCTGATCCTCAATAACAAATTTGTTTTTGGGTCCTCAATTGTGAAAAGTTTTTTCCACTGGAAAAAATTGCTCATGGAATCTTCCTTTACTTAGGAAGCCATGGAAGCTGAGGAAGAAGCTCAAAGCTTGGGGCTTCTCTTGAGCTGAAGATCTGAGGCTGCAAAGCAAAAGGATTGTTGAGAACAATTACAAAGCACCTGAGAAAGGAAGCTGAATACTACAATCAATTACAAAAGGAATCCTCACAGGAATCCAGATTTGTTTTGGTGGTAATTTATTATAGAGGGACCTCTATCTGTTTGAGGGGGGGGGGACCCCCCTTTACTAATCAGGATCGAACATTATTATATGAACATTGCAACGCTATCCAACGATGGGCAGTGGGCGAGATGATCACTCGTCCAGAAAACGGAGTGCATTGAAAGAAATGATCCGATGTGCGTCGCGGAACAAAAAGACACCCCAAAAGAACCTTGGCAGAGTCATGAGGCTGAACCGCAGCACAAGGGGCCAGTGATTCTTCGGGGCCAGCGCCATCTAACTCGGCGCTGGCAAACCCAACCGGTTGGAAGGTCTGGTTGCCTGGCAAGATGCTCATCCATGATCTCTGCCAGAAGGGACGTGCCAAAATGCTCCTTATGGCGGATCGATGGATCGACAATCTTCTTGAGAAAATGGGACAGCATGGGACAACTGGGTCCGCTCTATTGCCAGATCCAAGTAAAACAAAATCCAAGGCTTCAGCCAGCTTCATCCAGGACATATCTTCTCTCTATCCCACTGTACCTTTCCCGATGGGATAGGAGACCAGTAGAAGCCAAGTGCCTCAACATGCATTGACTGCTATTTTTGGAGACATTATAAAAAGTGGTGACTCACAGCACTTAGAGCGCTGTGAGAACACCACATGTGTGGAGTTAGGCGCACAAACAAAAGCACCACCGTTGAGGTTGGCTATCAGGCGAGTCCTCTTTCGGTCTGCCTCAAATGAAGGTTATCGCAGTTTAACGAGAACAAATTGCTGCTGTGTTGTTCTATGCGCAACAAATTCATCTTGTAGGAGTTTCAGATTCGAGGATGCAAGGAATTACACTCCTGGAACTAACATGGAAGTGGAAAATTGCCCCTTGGAAGACCATTTTCCTCTATTTTCCTCTACAAACTGGATGATTTCGTCTTTCATGTTAATTTCGTAGGTCACAGAGGTTTGATAGGCCCAAGATATGGAGAGAGCTGATTGAGGGTGCTGGCCTAGGCAGGGTCTTTACAATCTCCGCTCCAAGGAAGCTCATGCTATGAATTCTCAGGGGCTCCACACCATTTTTCCAGAAGCTGCCTGCGGAGACAAACTATATAATCCAAAACAAAACAGAAACACACACACCCACTACTCAAAAGAACTGCCTGTCTGACCAACGAACGGTGTCCGATGTGTCCAGGTTCTTGGCATGTGGAAAGGGGCGGCTCAGGTGGGCCCCCAGGTGCTCCATGCTTCGGGCCGAGACTAGCACTGTTTATGGGAAGAAATCTGCAACAAACGTTCTGAGTGAAATCCAGAAATACCATGAAATAGCAGGACTTGAAGGCCTTGGGGTGTGGTTCTTGCTTCCACCCGCATCGAAGTCCAATCCACATACAATAAGATCCTCAGCTTGGAAAGTCCATTCATAGAAGTGGAACCCGCTATGGTTGATTCATGTTGATCCTAAGTTTACCTCAAGACACAAAACGGATGAATCTGGGCCAATCTGAGTGCTAGGATCACAATACCTAGCATTCACCAGTGATTCCGGGCGCTACAGGAGGTCGGGCCAACTACGTGCCTTCCGGAACCGTTTTTGCGCCTTGCTTGGTTGATGCTCACTGAAAAGGACCACCACCCTCGATTGCGGCCTTAGACGATGACGGCATTGGAGCGGGCCGCTGAAAACAACCACAACGAAATAACACACTGTCAAAGAAACTGCAAACATGCGCCTAGTTTGAGGTCACTGGGGCAGCATTCCCTCAGGTTGCCAATGTTTTATGCAGAGTCATGACAGGTAGACAGACTAAGGATCAAATGATCAAACTGGACAAATAGTGTCAAATTCATTCGCTCGGGAAAGTTAAGAAAAGGTCGCAAACGGAATGCCAGGTCCAAGGCAAAGCTAGCAGCGCCATGGTTTGAGCCTGAGGATGTCTTTGTTGGCCGCTGGGTAACTCAGAAGTTTTCAGGCAATAAACATCTGGGGTAAAACATGGGAACTTTTGGAAAGGTTGACTTGATAAAACATTATAAATACATTGCCCCCTCTGCAGGTCTTCAAATCCAATAGTTGCTGCGCACGAACCTGTGCTTTTTTGAGTTTACAGTTTGAGGTTTAGTTTCTTGCGTGAAATCATGACACCAAAATCCAGCACCCAGGGGCCGTGCGCGCCTGGTAGTGGGCAAACACACGTGGAGCGCCCAACGTGATCCGGTTGTCAGCATCACGCCTGTTCCCCAAGCACCCGAAGCGACGGTGGCGTCGAAGCGAACGCTGAAGCGAGTTCTCCGGGTCCGCAGCGATCGCCCGGGCGGGCAAACAAAAGGTGTGTCACATCGGACGAGTGGGGTCGAAAAGAGCACAGATTTCCCAGGATTGGCGTACACATCATCAATTGAATGTCCTATTTCTCGAACCACTTAAAACTGTACATGTTTCAGGGGTCCGGCTTATATCCAACACGCTGCCTGCAATTGGTTGTTTTCCATATACTTCTTTCACTTGTGCATGGCGCTTGTCATCTTTAGGCCATCGTGCAAATGGCACAACGTTTAATGTAATCACTCTACATTTCGGCCCCTTGAAGTTGTACATGTTTCAGGGGCCCAACTTATATCCAATGTCTGCACTATTCTTCGACCCGAAAGCAAAATGGCTCAATGTCCATGCTCCCTCGGGCAGGGCTCCCCAAAAGGGGTCGGAATCAGGTCACCCACCGGATCCAGTGGCTCGCAATCAAGTTTCGAGTGGGCAAAGGTCAACTGGTTTCTCTAATTATGCGCCGCAATACACTCCCAACGTGCTCTGCAAACGTGTCTGAAGTCACCTTCACCAACTGCATCGGTGACATGCAAGCAATGAATGTCTCGCTGACCTGGGAACTCCTAACCAACAGGGCCGAACACAGCGATCCAGAATTGGCTGTCTTTTTTCAAGGCGCAAACTTTGAAACCACAATGTTGATACCTGGTGGCAGAAGCATGAACGTGTTGTATTCATGGTGCGTGTTCTGGTGGCGGCACACATGGAACCACCAGGTGATTACAGCCAGGATCATTTTGTCCTGCATGATGCGCGGCCAGGTCGTTCACAGCGTGTCTCACGGAGCAGTGCTACTTGTTGAGTTCAGGACTTCCACCAGATGTGTGAGAGAGTCCCAGCAGCTTCATGCAAGTATTTACTGTAAGCCCCACCATAGCCAAGTGATTCGAATTTTGTCGACACTTGAAACGCTTGCGCTGTGAGAAGTGACCCAAAACACTCTTTGGAGACGTATGTGGCGTTCTCAAAGTCGGGGACCTATTCTCTACAATACATCATCTGGAGACTTTTCCCAGGGCGCGGCTCTTGTAACTAGCTGGCGGGCCTTTTTGTGGTGCATTGTTGCCTGCTCTGCCTACCTCCACCTCAAGACCCGACACCCCCTTGCTATTCGTAGGGTCAACCAGAAAGAAACTCTCAGTGTCGCAGAAGCGATGCAGTCCGACAAATGGAGACGACATGCCGAGCTTTGACAAATGCGGTGTCTCTCGCACTTCTCTCTTTTGAGCCAAAATGTCCCAGTGGGATCTTGTTGTGTCCTATCGTGAACATAAACCTGGCAATCCCAGACTAAGTCCAAGGAGAATGAAATGATGTGTTTCTCAGAGGGTCCAACTGTCCAACTTCTATCCAACAACACCTGCAAGTTTACCACCCTTCACCTCTTGGTCTTCTATCGATCATGCAAATTGTAAACTTTATTGTAACCACTCAGTTTTAGAGATGAGAAGAACCACGCCGTAGACTAGATGAATAAAAGAGCATATGGCAGTTCACTGCTTGCAGGCAATGTTGGATTTAAGTTGGACCAACTGAAAAATCCACTATTTCAAGGGGGTCAAAAAATAGAGTGATTACAACAAACTTTGCAATAAACAAGTACCATGCGGCGGATCAATGAAAGAAGTGTATGAACATCAAAAAAGTGCAGGCAATGTTGGATATGAGTTGGACCCTGAAAAACGTACAAGTTCAAGAGGATCCAAAAATAGTGATTATTTGGGTGTCACCCACCTTGGTCCTGGCAAAAGCACCTACCATGACCGGACAGACTGGACAGCTTCCAGTTTCGTGTTGACTGGACAGGCTGGAGTGCCAGAGTGACTGCCGTGCCTGGCGCCCACCAGAACGCCATCACCGCCTCGATCCGCGGTCCTGCGCACCGCCCAGGCTGCTCCGAGTAGGGAAGGGATAGAGGGGTCGGGGTCGACGGGTCGATGCCATGTTCACCACCCAAATCAGTGCTGCGGCGATCAATCCAAACTGTCCAAATTTGAGACACGGAAACACGAAAGGTAGGACTCACCAGGAATATATATATATATATGAAAGCGGGGCTATCTCAACGCAACAGAGCTGTGTAACAGCTGTGGTTTGTAAGAACTGCCTGGTGCCAAAACTGTGCCGCGCAAATGCGGCTGTATGTCGCACGCACGCTCCGCATAGACTGGCAGGGGTCGCGAGGAGGGGTTGCTACAACATGTGGTGCGGTGCGGTGCACGTGGAGGTTTGTCAACACTGGTGTATGTAAGAGCTATGGTGTGTAAGAACTGCGTGGTACCAAAACTGTGCTGGGCAAATGCGGTCGTACGTCGCACGCGCGCTCCGCATAAAAGTGGCCCGGGTCGCGAGGAGAGGTTGCTACAGCATGTGCATGATGCGGTGAGATTTGTCAACACGGCTTTGCGTAGAGGCTGTGTTGCGTCAACGCTCGATTGTGTAGAGCTATGTGGTGTGCGCGTAAACACTGGCATGTGTAAGATCTGTGGTCCCAGAGCTGCACGCGCTTTGTAAAGACCCCAGATGTGCATGCATTGCGTAGAAGCCGCGTTGCGCAACCTCATTGTAGGGGCACTGCTGTTGCTGCCAATGCATAGACGTCATGTCGTCATGCTAGGTGGGCGATGCTAGTGGTGCTGGCGAGGGAGGGGGATCACCAAAATGATTGATCAATAAATTGCTGATCACTATGGAAGGGGGTGGTCAATGTTTGGTCCCGAGCAGGCTGTTCAAGCTACCCCTTTGCTTCGCAAAGCAAACTCAAGGTAGCCCTTACCAGGTTGCCTTTCGTGACTAGGAACTAGCCCGGCCCAACTTCAAGTGGTCAAAAAAAATGATTCAATCTGATTCAAGACTTCCCTCCTTTTGAGACCCCCACATCCTAACCCTGAGCAGTCTCTTGTTCCGAAGCCTTCCAACATAAACATGAAGCAAGGGGTTTGGTCTCAAAATGGTGCATATTCCAAGTCATGCGAACCTAGGATTAAGTAACCTCCCCCTATTAATCAAGCCCAGCTCGAGCCCCCAATACTAAACTAATTTAAAGCCTGAATTCCACATGTACATCACCCTAATGATTTTTCCATCCCCCTATTAATCAAGCCCGGCTCCCCAGAAAAAAATGTAATTAGCTATTTACAATTCTTTACTATGTATTTTCTTTTTGGCTATAGTATCCAATCACCTTGCCAAGACAAACTTTTGGGACCTTTGCAAATTCTATTAGGCGGAGCCAGCCGAATCTGCACTAGCCGGACTAATGTCGACGTAGGATTCATCAACCCCCCCCTCCGCCCCTTCAAGGTCAACAAGGTCAACAAGGTTTGAGATTGGATGGATTGGAGACCACATCCGATGATGACCTGATGATGACCTGATGAGATGAGGGCACCCATTGCCCCAGGTCGTTTCAGCCCACGTCGTCGAATCACACCAAGTGCTCCACCATAAAATCCGAAACGGATGAAACATCAGGAGGGAAAGACGAAGGATGGTGTAGAAACGGAAACCACTGAATTCCCATGGCATTTTCGGTGTTAAAAAACGACCCGACCCGACCCACAGACCGCGCTTGAGACCGCTTGTTTTCGGGTCCCCTGCTAGGCCGAAAGGAAGTGCTGCCAATGCACAAGTGCTTTGACTAATAAGACCCTTCACTTTGGATGCGCGCACTTGCGGACATGCTCCACTTTGGATTGAAACAACTCTTCATATCCGGGGCAAAACATGCATGAACAAGGAGCGGAACTCCCATCCCTCTGTCCTAAAAGCGATCGCCAGGCGATTGGGGGCCTCCTGAGTCAGAGTGCGGACTGCGATGGTCTCCCACCTACGAACGGAGCGATCGGACGCCTACAGGAGCGGGGGCTCCTGGCCTCGCGAACCGAACGGAGCGATCGGACGCTATTAGCGATGGTCTCCAACCTAAAGCCTCTTCCCTGCACGTTGCCTTGGGAGCCCCACCAGCTCTGCGAGTACCGGGCCGAACACGGCGGACCTGAGCGCAGACCCTGCGCAACCGGTCCGAACACAGATTTCCGGCCATGGCCGGCAGGATTTGGCAGAACACCTTGTTACTAGTAGCTTCTTGTTCCTAGTAGTAAGGCCAGGATCTGCTAGTAGCGTCCTTGCTCCTAGTAGCGATGCCCTTTGTTACTAGTAGTTTCTTGATACCCCAAGAAAAGAACCGACTATTTGAGGATACCGTGGGGGCAGCCAGACAGTTGGGACCATAAGGATTCATGTATCGGTGTTAAAATTAGGGGTGAGGGGTCAGACCCCACATTTCAGAGATGGGCCCCGTCAGAATTGGTCTTCTCAAACCCATCCTTCGTGCCTCTCGTCCTATCGGCGATGGCCATGGTTGCTCTGGACAAGCGTGTCGACACCCAAAAAGGGAAGCGCAATTGTAATAACCTACGGACCTACAGATATGTATTATATGTATGTGTATAACTGTGTCCATATGTGTTATGCACATGTGTTAAGCTACAACTGGACAACTTGTAGAACCTTGTCAATTTGTCTTCCTCATGAGACGGTGACTCAAGAACAGGCAAAAACACCTGCACACCACTACACACCCTCACAGTGAGGTTTGGGGCGCTACCACACCTGGCGGATAGATAGTATTTTGGTATGCCAAAAAACTAGAACACTTCAGAGAGTCAGTGGACTTGGCCCTAAAGATATAATGTAATATGTATATATTCTTGAGGCCCACCCATGTAACCTCCTCACATTCTTTTGTGGGAACATCCTTGGGGCGGTACTTGCTCAAACCAACTGTCTTTCCAAAGAGAGTTCCACCTGGCCGCCCCACTGGCTCAGCAGCGATGGAGCACTCCAGCCTCGGACCGTCGATTGATTCTAAGACAGATGTTTTTGTCAAATGCATATCAAAACTATTTCACTCGAACCTTGTTAGGTGATGGCAGGTGAACATTCCTGGGAAGCAGTTCTGTTCAGAAAGTTTATGCCAACCTGGAGGAGAGCAGGGTCAGGGTGATCTACTCTCATGTTGCAAATGAGTGAAAAGAACAAGGCCTTCGGAAATAACGTCATCTTCAGTCATCCTTCCAACGAAGTATCTTGGGGCTACTGTTCCGCTCCTATACAGTAAATCTTGAAAAACACTCGCGTTGGACCACCAGGCTCAGCTGCCACTGGTGCTGCAGCACAAGGTGACTCTTCAAAGAGGAAGAGAGCTGCACAGGCACCCCTGCGCATGCCACTGTCCTGTGCAAGGCCTATCACCAAAAAGCCACTGTTCTGCCTCCCAAGCACATGACAATTGGCAATGTGCACAGCAGGCATCTACAGCAAACAGTGAAACACACACAGAAAAATAAGAAAAAAAACACGATGTCTGTGCGCCCTTCCTTCGTCAAAAAAACCTTCAAAATATGTCAACCACTTCTGAATGTCCTCCTCCATTGTGAAATGATGGAAATGGCTAGCAGCGGCTAGTATGACTCTACCACTCACAGACGGGATCAAAAGGACATGACTCTACCAGCGGTTTTCCAGGCCCTGTTGTTCTGACTGCGAGAGGATCATGTTGCACCCCAAATGGATCCTGTATGATCCGCCGAAGAGTCAAGTTGAGTCAAGTTATATAAGTCGGATAGGAACAAGGACGCTACTAGGGGCTCCTGGCATCGCTACTAGGAGCAAGGGCCTTACTACTAGTAACAAGAAGCTAGTAGAAACAAGAAAACGATGATCGAGAATGGATCACTGGCGATGTCGACCGCCAGACACGGTGACACTTCCATCGTGCGACCGCGCGACCGTCGGACCGCCCCCGCCGTGGCGATGTCAGACGGGTCCAGGGAAAAACCGCCGCCGGAGAGACTCGATGGGACTGGAATAGCTCATTACCCATCCATGAAGCAATGTAAATAACAATGTAATGTCAAGACCCGTCCATGTAAGACCCATCTTCCATCCATGAAAAAATGAAAAAATACGAAAAAATCTCAAAAAGACCCATCCATGTAAGTAGCACTTCGAGTGTCTGAGAAAGAACCTCTCTAAGACCCGACCCTGGAGCTGCCTAGTCCACCTCGCGTCCACGACGGCCCTGTGCCGACAGTGCGACTTTTCAAGGACGGCGCAAAGCGCGCCGATTGGGCGACCCGCCGGTCGAGTTATTCCTTTTCAGAGGCTTTCGAAGTGTCCTTCCCTGGGCTGGTTCTAAAACTGCAGGTGAATCCCCCTAAGTCCAGCGGCCGAAGAACGAACTCCTAAGTCCACATGGCAATTCCCATCAGCCTTGAGATGTCACGGAAGACCACAGCTACGCCGTTGTCACCTCGCGAACAAGCGGTCGACCGAGACGAACAAGATCAAACGGGAAACGCCTTTGGAGGGTCGATATCTCCTTATTACGCTTATTATATATAGTTTAGAGAAGGTGCGAACAATGCATTGGATGGTGCGCGTTCAAAGATTCAAGATTTTCTCTTGGAGTGTGCTGAAAACTGGGGCCAACCACGCAGGCTGGTGACATACAGGTCAGCCACCTGCGCATGATTGCCACGGTTTCTCGGAGTGTGCACAAGCACATTGCACATAATAATGGCACATAATGGCACACATTGCTATTTGCATATGTTTGCATCCTCACTACCTCGCTATCTCCTAGGGCTGCTCACTCCCAAACACCTTCCTCGCTGCCTCGGGCTGTTTGGTGCCCGGCGACCCGGAGATCAGCGGCCGCTCCACGAAGGCACTCGCCGGGTTGCACACGAGCCCCGTCTCGGTGGGTACGGACGTACGGGTCAGGGTCCAGTTAGGTCGGGACTCCGAGCAGGTCCGGACAGGTCAGGTCCGGCCGATCAGGGCTTCATATTTCAACAGGTTTCGTTGGTTTGCGGAGGGTGAAACCAAAGGTTCCCATGACCCAAAGGTTCGCAAAGGGATCCAGACACGCTCGTCGCTAAGAAGGCGAGTTGGAAAGAACTGAAAGAATGGACTTGAACTAGCACTTGACGTGCTGTGTGATATCCCCTATGCTCCCATTGTGCGAATAGATGTCACGGACACAGCTGCACCCAAAGTATCTGCAACTCAACAAAGTTTCCATGTCTCTCTAGTCAGTCTCTACCACCGTCTGCAATCAGCGGAAGTCATCTGCTTGAGTATGATCGACAAAGCTTTGAACATGCAAATATAGAAATCTGTTGGACCACCGTGCGTAGACAGCTGTGGTGTTTCGCGCGTTTTTGTTGCGCTTTCGTGGTATTTGCAGTGCTTTTAAGGTTTCCTTCAGGGAGAGCATTGAACATTGAAAAAATCAGTTTGGAGTGGGGTGGGGGTAATGACAACCGGTCCGCATGCTATGCCAGTGCTTTGCTTCCGGCATCCAGTGCTGCGTGACGTTTGAAGCGAAGTCACTCAGGGTAACTTAGAGTCAAGCACCAATATTGGCCTTGCGAAACGAAAGCCTCCAATGTAGCAACCCAGGAGAGTATAAGCACTTGACCTCTAAAAACACAGCTTCGTTGTTGCACTTTAGTGTGCACACGCCTCATGTGTTCGGTTTAATGCTTTTCAGTTCATCTTGAATCTTAACTTCTTACTTCTTGCGTTTTTCGATCTGTTGTTGCTAAATGACGCTCAAACAAAGGGAGAGTGTCATTTAGAGTGCATGACGCTCATCATTCTGTTCAAGCTAGCGGGGTACCTCCGTTACTGAAGCCATGGTTACAGTGCAGTGGCAGTATCATGATTCACGGAACTTGCATTGGAACACGTACTGTAGAGTTCTTGGAAAACTAAGTAGTTCGAGGTAAAAGCATGCAACGTGTGCTTCTCGCCTCTCCCGATTCAGGTTGAGGCAAAAAAAAACACCAATTGAAGAAAGTATCAGAACCCCGATCAGCCTAAAGGTTTACAACGTATGCAACAAATAAAAATCCATAGACAACACCTATGGCGGCCATCCTCCTGAGCGGGGCAACAATCTGTTTTGACTGGGCAGCGGTCCGTAGACTAGGCATGGCCCTGACATGGCTGGACACTGCTGAGGCAGCTACACCCTCGTAGCCAGCCTGAGGTCAGCAGTTGGGCTGCATGCATGTTTGAATTTGCAAAAGCAGCACCCTCAAGTTCTTGATGCGCAGTCTTCTAATGCACCAGTGTGGTAGGAAGGAGAGCGAGAGAGTGACAAGATGAGTGAACGAGTGAGTACGCCATCTGTTTCATTTCCCATGCCCCCCGCACGACAAGCGCCGGCGTCCTTCATGGGCCTTTGGGCCCTTTTTTCTGCCCTTTAAGCGATGGCCTTCAACCTACTTGCGATGGCCTCCACCTACGTCGCATCCGGCCTTGCAGCGACAGCGGGCTCCTTCTTGGCTTTCATCGCAATACCCGTTGCCTGCACGACCCGCGTCGCCACGTCCGGCACCTCGGGCGAGTGGTTCTTCTCCACTTGGCTTTCTGCCATGTACGGGTACCTTGTCATGCTGGACTGGGTGAACTGCATATAAGTAAGCAAACGGTAAACAGAACCACAATGTTTGACCACTAAACTCAGGTTTCAACTGGGTTTGGATTGCTTTGCCCTTTTTTGCTTTACTTTGGCAGGTGCCCATAACCCGTGAATACTGCGCTTAGGAGCAGTTCCATTTTGACGGTGGACAAGCCATCTTCAAACGGGGTGCTGGGAAGCTGCAAAGATTTGTCAAAAAATCGATCTCCCAAGCTCTCCAACACGAGAAGAACTTTTATTCCCTCAGCTAGCCGGATTGGGTGTTTGGTACTCATCCAACTAGTGGATGGTGTTGGTATCCGGTATCTGTCGGTACTGGGTTAGCACACCAAGTTTTGGATAGAGCCACGGGGCACTAATTCTCGTCTGATTTCACCCGATCTAGACCATTCGCTGTTTAGTAGATTTGGTACTGGATCTGTTGGAATCTTCAGGGTCCCTGTAGGCTCCTCCATTCTGACTCACACAGTCTCCCAGTGATGTGTTTTGTTTTAATACATCTCTCATACATGAGCTCACATCTGCCTTTGCCCATGGGGCCTATCTCCATCCTCTCAACAACCCCAGCCCTGCTTTGTCTGGGGCCGGTCTTCGACCGGCTCCGGTCGAAGCAGGATCACCGGCCCGTTTCGACCGTCTGGGAACCGTTCGGGAACCGTTCGGCCGTTTTCGACCCAAACGACTCAAGAGCAACGACACATCTCACGAATGGTCAAAGCGCCGAGCCACGACACATCTAACCAAACCGAAGTAACCAAAGCCAGCCCGGCCAGCCCTGCGCTGCGTCGCTCGGTCGGTCTCGCGGGCGCGCAGGCGGGTGCATGCAGGTGCCTCCACAGGTGAGGCCAGTGCAACTGTTGGCACCTGCAGGCATCTGAAGCAAAGCAAGAGTGAGATTCAGGGAGATCAGATCTGAAAGTAGAAATCATGAAACTGAGGGGAAAAAAAGGCGCCGTTGTCGATGTTGATCCTATAATAAGGATCTTAGGACTCCCCATTCTGTGGTGGAAAAAATACATGAGGATGGCAGATACATGATACATGCAAATCTTCGATTGCTTGCTCCGAGTGATCACATGGTGCTGACTTCGACAGCGTCGGGTCTCAAGGAGTGGACCGAGCGGCTTGAACACCGGGGCTTCCGAGACGAGATGTACGGCGCCCTCTTCAAGGGCTCTTCAAGGGCTCTTCGAGGGCGAACGGGCAGACATAAACCGGTGTCGGGTGTCGTGACCCAGGTGGTTGCCTGACCTGCGCAAGCGCAGACTGCAACCCGTCTCGCCACACCAGACAGGGATTCGTCTGCAACGGTGTCAGTTCATCAGTTCATCAGGTGAACTGATCTTGGATGACAGCCTCTTGTGGCTCTTAAAACGATCCGTCGACCCATAAGAGCTTTGCAACTTGCCCTCACACTACCAGACAAGCCTCGTGATCGTGAAACAAAGCCGTGCATGAGTACCCCAAACCAACATGGACCCTGAAGAAGGGCTTCAACCAGAAGACCACTTTGCAAATTACACCCCCGTGGTTTTCAGCTCTTCTGCCACCTCTCTGTATCTATTCTGACTGCAGCGAGAGGCTTTTTTTCGATTGAGCTCCGGACATCCGTTGGCTGAACGACAGGAGTCCAAGGCTTTTGAGAGGACGCTGATCGAAAAGCAGCTGCTTAGCGCAGCTTGGGCTCTCAGCTCCTCCTTTGACAAGGTCCGCCATCAAGGCCACCCACCTCTGATTAATGACCTACTATCAGAAGATCCTGGTGCCGTTGTCGCAGCGTCAGCCGCGGCCCGAAGAAAAGGAGTGTCAAAAAAGAACATGCTGCCAGATTCTTGGAGAGTATCTTCCAGGGGCAACACATGCAGAATGGATGAATCATCTTCCTGATGTTGTTCGGTCCTGCAGGTGGCCTCATGGATGAATCCTCTCTTCTTCTCTGTCCATCTTCCCCCCATGCCACGGTACGGCCACGTCCCGCCTTCCCTCTGACCGCTGAACTGTTGCAACGTCGCGGCAAAGGAGGCCGCCATGCCTGGTGTTGCCGCTCCATGCGCTGAAATCGGCTCCGTGCCCACTGGGTAGGACTTGGGGGACGGACAAGAATCCAACCCATGGCCTGCAACCTAAGAGTGATGGCCTCCAAACTAAGAGCGATGGCCTCCACCCTAGTAGCGATGGCCTCCACCCTAGTAGCGATGGCCTCCACCCTAGTAGCAATGGCCTTCACCCTAGTAGCGATGGCCTTCAACCCAGGATGGGGTCTAATTACTGTGGCAGTCATGGTGCCTATGATCACCATTCTGTGATCGATGGGACGATCGCATCGTCAGATCCGGGAAGTTCATTGGCGTCCGAAAAGGAAAGGTGGGCAAAGGGTTTCCCGGCCCCAATGCCACAGTGCCTTGTGCATTTTCTTCTTCCATCCGCGACTCCTCCTGGATCTGATAGGCGTCTTCAAGCAAAGCTTTGTCCTCACATGATGAGGGATGGTCAAAACGCAACGCAACACAAATCCAGGTGCTGACAATCCATATCATCCAATCCCCTGTGAATTAAAAACAATCACAACACAACTTTTAGGTGTTAATTCACCAGTGGCAGGGGAATTGAAGACATCACTTGAGGAATGTTCGCTTGTCGCTTGACCTCACCAACCCTAGTGGCAGAGTGTTGACCCCATTTTGACCCTTCACTTTCGTGAGGGACTGATAAAAAGAGTTGTGTCCTAAAGGACATGAGACGTTTGGTGTGATCGATCCCCATCAGCGGCTACAGAATTGTGTTTTTAATGTCACACATGGACATTCCCCTGTTCAAGCAATCTTTCGACGTTGTTTGGTAACATACACCCTCAGTTTGAACTTCCTCGCCGGAGAAGGTACACAGGGTGCAGCTGCAGCCATCGGCAAGGACTTCAAGGTTCCGGATCAAAGACCAAGAGGTCTTAGCTGGAGATGCCCGCAATGCTCCTAATAAACTAGAGATCACACATTCAAACATGTTCAAGGAACCATGAAGAGTTTTTCTTTTGCTGGTGATTGTGAGATAGGTAATCAGTGATGCAGGTATTCCCAGTGTCATGAGTCATGATGGGGAATCTCTAACCAGCCCTAAACCCAAGCAAGAAGCAAGCCAAATTCCCTTCCATCACTGCATTTGACGTCAGTCCTGCATGGACTGGGCCCTTTGGATTGTTGACCGCTGCCTGGATAGTTGCAGGAAACCAGTGGAGTTACAAAAATTGATCAGTTGCCCCTATTTGGATGTAAAGCAGCAACCAGCTCTCAAACCACCGGCCCTTTGCTCAAAGCCAAGCCAAATCATTTAGAGAAAGGAGAAACTGTGCACCCTGGGCACTCTGATTCCGAGAAACGCCCCAGCAAACTGACCAAGACATACTTCCTGCAAACTGACGACGGTGAAAATGGACCCCTGGAAGACTCCTCTTTCAGGCCCCAACCGCCATATAGCTAGCTACTGCTAGCTACCTTGCTACTGCCTACCTCTACCGGACCCCCCCCGATGTCTCGGCACACCTGGCTGCATCTGCGGCGTCCAGGAGGGACTGCTCCGCATCCCGCGTATGAAGCCTTGAGACCCGAGCGGCGCGGAGCGCGCGGCGACGGCCTCCTTCTCCCACCCAACGCGGCTGGGGAGCGGTGAGACATCGAGTCGACTCTGATGTTTCACATTGGAAGTGTGTTATTTCTCCCCAAAAAAGGGACGACGACGTTCCTGAATTGAACAGAATTACTTCAATCCACTTCCATCTTAGTGATCTGCAGGAAGAGCCTCACCTTCTCGGAGGATTGACATCCAGGAGCATGAGACTTATTGGGTGGCCCTGAGCCAAATCGATGCAAATGTCTCTCTCATGTGGGAGTATCCAAACAAACACTCTCTCTTAAATTTTTGAACATAAGATAACATACACTCCCGAAAACTAACATCGAAGTGGAAAACCACCTGCTTGTAGTGGAAAATGGTCTTCCAAGGGGCCATTCTCCACTTCCATGTTAGTTCCAGGGAGTGTAAACAATTACTGTATTGCCATTTGAATTTGTGAATGGAAAAACGCACGACCCAAAGCATACCTTTTCATGAAGGTCATGAACACCTGAGAAAGGTGAACCGGTCAATACGACCTGCGTTTGGCTCAAGGAACAACGTGAGCGGCTGTTTTTTGTCGGTCGCTCTTGAGGCTTTTTCCATAACCACAGGTTATGAGCCCAAAGAGCTTTTGAAGTCCACCCTCATTTGAGGTCGCTGGTCCCCATGAGCGGCTTGATGGCGCGGCGGCGGCGCTCCTCCCGCGAAGGAGGCAGGCTGAGGGATCCAGGAGATCGAGGAGGGCAACTACGTGTGGGAGCAGCTGACGAGAGGCTAGACACCCTCCTCGAGGAGGCAAGGGCAACCTCAATGCCACCTGCTGTGAAGAGAGTTGGAGGGGCTCCAGCGGCTGGCGAGGCGAGAAGATCTTCGACGGCGGCAAGCGGAGCTGATGGAAGACAACAAGGTCCAGCATCTGAACGGCATGACCGAGGAGCTGGCTGGCAGGAGACGGTGAGGCAATCCCTCGAGGTGTTGCAAAGGGCCTTTGGATCAACTTCCCAAGGACCGATGCCGGTGGGACCTCCGCCTCCTGAAGGACTACTTGGACCTCTATTTCATGGCCGCGATCCAGGACACCCTCGCGCTGATGATCCGGGACAACCTGGAGGGCAAGGGGCTTGGCAGCGGGAGGCAGCGTCATCGCCTCAGTTTCCGATTCCGCCGAGAGCGGACAGGAGCAGCATGAATGGTGAAGGTGGTCCACAACCTAGAGTACTTGAGCCCTACGACATGTCCACACCCCATCAACATGGGCGGCAGCAGACCAATCCTTTTTGGAGTGACCGTGGACGTGCACCTGATGTGGCATCCCGTTCTGAACGTCCTCGACCCCCTAGTGAAGAGGTGAAGAGAAGCCCGACGTCTCAGGAGCTGGAAGCCATCCGGGAGCGCATCCTTCGCGAAGCCCACTTGAACTTTGAGAAGGAGGTCAAGAAGCTGACAGGTGGTGGAGGTTCGTCGACGTTTGAATCGGCGAATAGTGTGGGCGAGCGGGCGAAACTTCGTGGTTCCACTGATGGTCAAGGTGGGAACTCTGGTGATGGTGTTGGTGAGTCACTACCTGATCGACCCCCTGGATTACATGAGACCACAACCGGGACATTGTCATCAGGGTTTGGTGGTGGAGCAGGAAAGGTGACCAGAATTGGGGCTGGAATTCCCGTGGCATCGACGACCGAGGCTCTGCGAAATTTGGAGCTTCCCTCACTTCCAGCACCCAATGGAGAAGGAGCTTCGATTCTCTTCGGCGACTGGCTGACTATGGCATTCCCGCTGATGGCTGACATCTCCAACTCGGCCAAGGCCTGGTGGGAAGAGTCCTTGATGGTGGCGCAGGAGCACTACTCCCGGTGGCTGCGACTGAGTCCGCTGGAGAGGCTGAGATCGAAACCTCAAGTTGAAGTGGACCCAGCATTTCAACGGATTGAACAGCGTGGAATTGCCATGCTACTTGGAGCACTACCTGATCAGCTTCGTCGGGACTTGGTGTCTGGCAGGCAGCTGTCCGTGGTGCACATCCTGTACCGGCTCCATGTGGCGTACCAGCCAGGAGGCGGCGCTGAAAAAACGCAACTCCTCAAGAATTTAGTGGAGTCGAAGTTCTCCACATCGGTGGGAGAATTGTTGATGCAGGTCCGGTTGTGGCGACGTTGGCTATCTCGCGCTCAAGAACTTCACCTCAACCTTCCGGACCCTCTGGTCCTCATGCACGCCCTGCAGCGCATGATCGACAGCACCCAAAAAGCAGGCGGCACTCAGGTGTCATTCAGGATTTCAAATGTTCGTCAAGAACTCCGAGTTGACTATGCAGCTTCATTGGAAGGAGTCACTGAGCTAGCTGAGTATGTGCAGGCGGAGATCGAAGAAATGTCCCTCACTGCAGCTCAGAAGGGTGGTGCACCACTGGCTCAGCCGGCGGCCTCGTCCAATCAAGCGGTCTCGACGTCACTGAAGGCCATGGCATCGTCGTTTGGAGCGGCTGAGAATGAGGAGCGAGCAGGAGGAAGGCTTGCTTGCAAGTTCTGGAAGTCGGAGGAAGGCTGCAGGAGGGGAACATCTTGCACCTATGCCCACGACACCTCGGATATGAAGAACCGGTGCTTTGGTTGCGGTGGGAACCACATGAAGCGTGAATGTCCTCACCAACCCAAGACTGGAAAGACTGATCCAAAGAAGGTCTCAAAGGTGAAGGCCACGAAGGAAGGAGAGAAGGGGGAGATCGTCGAGAAGATCGCCAAGGAGCAGCCCATAAGTGAAGAGCCGTCTCCGGGGTCATCGCCGCCTCCTACCACGACCACTTCGAGAATGGCAGGAACACCTGAGAAGCCACTGGGTCGGGAAACTACGGCAGAGTTGCTGTCGGAGGCAACGTCTTTGCTCAAGACACTTCGGAGCATGAAGGTGCTTCGTGTGAAGGAATTGAAGCCGGTTGGCACTGATGGTTTGGCACCTGTTGGATTGCTGGATGGAGGGGCGACCAATGGTCTTCGTCGAGCACATGAGCAGGAGCTGGAAAGGATGTACCCGGTGAGGGTGGAGTTGGCCTCAGGGTCAACGACGTTGTTCAGGGTGGATGACCACAAGACCTTGCTGTCCAAGGACCACGTGGAGGTCATTGTCCCCCTCCATCGACTGGTGGGCTTGGGGTATCGGCTTCAGTGGACGGCGGCTGGAGTGAAGATCAATCACCCTGATCATGGCAGGATTGACTGCACGCTTCGTGGGGGATGTCCGGTTCTACCTGAGGCCAAGGCGCTGGAGTTGCTCAGCACCATGGAGAAGGCAGATCGGGGGGAGATCTTCACTGATGATGAAGTACGATCATGGTGGTCATCAAGATTCCCTGAGGTCCCTGCGGAGGTGTGGGAGTTCATGAAGGGCCAGGACAGCTTTGATGCTTGCACTTGCCCCTGGAATCGACGTCAGCGGCGACGACACCTGGCGTCTCGTGGTGTGATTGTCAACCTCTTTGCCGGGAAGGACTATAAGAGTTGGTCTAAGACGGACTGGGGTGGCTTCGAGATTTTGAATGTGGACGTGACGATGGGCGCACAGTTCGACCTCCATGGCATTGGAACTTGGGGTTACCTATGTCATCTAGCTCGACGAGGCTTGGTCGTTGCTGTGTTGGGAGGGCCGCCATGCCGCACGGTGTCACGGTTGAGGCACCGAGCTCCGGGTCCACGCCCTTTGAGAGGTCGAGATGACCGCAGATTCATGCTGGAGGGACTTTCTTCGCCAGAGCAGGAGCTTGCCCTCAGCGATTGTGCGTTGATGATGAAACAGATTGGTCTGTGGCTCCTCGCTGATGAGCATCGTGGAGGACGACCAGCACCTGGATTCCTGATGGAGTCACCAAGAGACCCCATGGATTACATGTCAACTGAGGCCACCAAGGAGGACATGCCGAGTTTCTGGAACTTTGAGGAAGTGAAGAAGGCCAGAGAGCTGATGGGCGCATCCTTGCTGACCATGGATCAAGGGTCTATGGGCCACGTCAAGAGAAAACCAACATGTTTGATGGTCGCCAACCTCCCACAGATGAGGGAGTTAGATGGCGTGTCCGGAGAAGGTAGAGGAGAAGTTGAAGCAACATCGCTCACTGGGAGACTGGCTCAATCGAGGGAGTGGTCGTCCTGGGCACCGGGCTTGGTGGCAGCGGTGAAGGAGTGCTTGAAGAACTTCCTCCTGGACTACAGGCGCAGGTGGAATGCGGAGGAGATTGTGCACCACGGCGAACCTGGAGTGAAGCGAATGAGCATGGAAAGTTGGAAAACCCATGTTCGAAATCAACACCAACCCTACAGGAGGGATTGTCGGCGATGCATGGAGCTGATGGGCGTGGATGCACCGCACCGGAGGACATCAGGAGATCGATCAGCTTACTGCCTGTCCTATGACATTTTGGGACCAATGCCACTGGGAGATGATGTGGGCTTGAGCACAAAGGCGAAGTACATCATGGTGGCAACGGTGGCCATTCCAAAGCTGCCTCGTGGTTTGGGGGGAGATGGAGATCATCCGCAAGAAGATGATGAAGACCGCCCTGACGATCGAGAAGATGGTGAACAAGGTCTTGCCGATCAAGGAGGCGATGGAGATCCCGCCAATCAAGAAGTTGGCGAACAGGTTCTGCCTCAGCTTGATGAAGTCGAAGATGAGGTCCGGGTTGCGGAGGAGGATGCAGTCGCTCTCAATGAAGGCTGGAGAAAGCACATTGATGATCTGGCTGCGCCTGTGGGAGTTCAAAATATCACACTGGTGGAGCCCCTGGAGTCGAGAGGTCAACATGATGTCACAAAGGTGGCCACAAGGATGTATTGCCGCTTCAAAGCGATGGGCCTGAAGATCCTCCGTGTCCACACCGACAGAGAGTGTGCTTTCTTCTCCAAGGTGTTCCAGTCCTTCTGCCGGCGATTTGGCCTTTACCAAACTATGACGGGGGGTGATGAAGGCCCCTCAAATGGGAGAATTGAAA